TTATCCTTATTACTTGAATTAAAGGTATAAGAATTACTCAACCAAGTATAATATGAAGTTTTATCAAATAAAAAAGATATAGGTATTTGAATTTTTTAATATAAAAAATATAAATTTTATAAGTTTAACGTTATTTATATATATATATATATATATATATATATATATATATTTGTTATTATTTATTATTATGTAAATTTTATTATTGTTCTAAATTATAATTTCTTAAAATAATATATTGATTTATATTATTAAATTGAAATAATATATATATATATATATATATTGAATTATTGACAAAAAATAATAATCTTATTATTAAATTTATTAAAAAAAATTATTTTTTTAAATTATGGCGAGTCAGCCGCTAGCCATACCCGCCCGCTTGGCGGGGCGGACAGGTCTATAGCCGTCATGACTATATCGAGCTAGCCACCACCCGTTTTTGGCGGCCAAAGGCGGGCGAGCTAAACGGCGGGTCGGCCGCTTTGCCATCCCTACATAAAACAAAGAAAATTTTTATTTCGTCTGATTGAAAAATATACATATTTAAAATTAAATTAAATAGATTAAAATAAGAAATACTTTTATTATTTTTAATAAATTTATTATTTTTTATTAATATTCTTTTGCTAAAATCACTCATAGTAATTTTCTATCTCTCTGTGAAAGAAACATGTAGTATATTTTAAAATTTAGAAGCAAATTTTTTAATCAAAACATGGGGAGACGTGGAAGATTGATGGATCATTTGTTGAACCAATGTACTCTTCTTCGTGCAGCATGTCCTGAAGCTATTCTTGTAACCTTGCATTAAATGACTCAACTGTATTAAGAAAATGATTTTTTTCCTTTTAAAGAAAAATTCATCTACAACACTTAATTAATGACAGTTCTTATAAAGTTCTTCAAGTTTACGAATAAGTTATTAGGAAACTGACATGACTTTCAAATGTAAACCAAACCATATCTTATAATATGAACAAAGTTTAATTTCTTATTAACAATCAGGTTTTAAGCCTTGTATAGAAAACTATTACTCCTGGTAATTAGCACACATTAAAATCTTTAACTCAAATTATGGCTCCACTAGTTACTGGGAAGTAAATTTGTTTTCAAAAAAGGCATTTTCAGATGAATAAGATGCTGAAAATGCAGACTTTTTCAGAGTAGAGAGATTCACGGGTATTATTGAGATTCTATGGCTACTAAGCTAGGCCTACTCTACTCTCACAACTGAAGGAATTAAATAATGTCTGTGGTTCTTTCTGTATCGTTTCTGTGCTCCATATATGTGTATGTAACCAATTACCAACTAAGACACACCTTTAGAATTCAAACAATCAAACAAGAAAGAAAAACTCCTTTTTTTTTTCTTGTTACACACAACTTTACTTTCTATCTTTTCTTTCCCTAAACTAAGCTAAACATAACTTAGAATAAGTAAAAATGGAGATTGGGGTTTGAAAAAAGGAACTATTTTTCATGACATTCATAAGCCATAACATGCACATACAACAGAAGAGGTGTACTTGACATTGATGTAAACATGGACAACAAAATGAAGGAAAGGTCCCACCGTAAGGGTCATACTGGCACTACTAGGCTATGGAATGCGTAATATTATTATCCTTCATGGCTTTCCTGAATGCAATAAGTGCAGTTTGATCACAGCCACCATTTTGTGTCTCCTTTCTTTATCAAAAGAAAAACTTCATTGCCTGACTCCTTAGCTGTGATCTGTGATCTATGATTTGGGGTCAGGGAATATTGCAAACAAAGAGGAGGAAACCACACACACTCATGCCCATCTTTCTTCCATATCAACGTCTATCAAATCTTAAAATAGACATCTATGCCAAACTATAAATGTTATATACTAACAACAATTTCTCATCAATTTACTATGAAATTTACATGGAAGTAAAGTTGGTATCAATGAAGATCATGATTCCAAAGGGCACGCATAGGTTTGATGCCTTTGACTGCTAGCTATGATCGACGTGTGCCAAGCAAATACTCCTCTGCGATTTCACACCTAAACAATTATTCCTTTCTACCACTTTTTTCTAATTATTGTTCCAACAACCTTCATTAGTACAACAATATACTATATTATATTAATATTATGATTGACTTTCTTAGTAACTAATCAAACATGATGATCATTTGTAAGGTGAATTGAAGGAGAAAAACTTTAAAGAGTCTCATTTTTTTGTTTTGTTTCATGGTCCTGATTTAAATGGACATTGTAGTTGGTGATGGATTAGTGTAGTTATTATTTTAATTTGTGGACTAATGTCATCTAAACTAGTCCTGTGTGATCGATGATAATATAGGATTTGGTACTATGGAAGAAAAGTCAAAGGAATTGATTGGACACTGGTAACTGGTCACTGCCACATAATTATTATTGTACTAATAATAATTTATTTATAGCAAAAATTGTTTAACCCCTCCATTTGTCTTTTAGCTTGTGTCCTTTGTTCTTTCTTCTTATTCTTAATTTTTGGTGAGGTGCTACTGTACTGCTACTCCATGCTAAGAATCTGAACTGAAGGGTTTGTTTCTGATGCAGGGGTCTTCACTTCGAAGTTCTAATTGTGTTTTGGCCCTAGGAGCTTCTCACTTTTTCTCTTGGATTTTTCTTCTTTGAAAATTTTCACCCTTCTTCTCGGTCACTGCAGCGTTCAGCAATTTTCGTTGTCATGGTTCAGACAGATTCTTGGACCCTTTCACAGCAGAAGCTCAAATAATGGTTCTGGTATCATGCTATGTCTAAAATAATACTCAAGTCAACTATGGAGAAATCGTGTAAGAATTTAATTGAAAACTAAAAAAATAAGAAAACATGAAATACACGACATTATGAAAAAGAAAAGTAAAAAGGTAACCATGTAATGTACTGTAACTCTGCAACCCATCTGAAGGAGTCAGTGCAAGACAACCAAGATCAAACTGAAAGCGACTCAGAACAACAGAGTATTTTTCTCATGATGAAGATAACAATCTTTGTTGGACTAAAATTATGATTAAATGGTAGTCAAATAGAATAGGAAACTAAACATAAAACCCTGTATGAAATTTATCTGTCTGCAAAGAAGCAGAAGATGAACTGGGAAGAAAAATAACTTGAAATGTGAGAAGTTTTGGCGATTCTTCAATTGAGAAAGAGAAGGTATCATGGTGGCCCTGTTTCGTGTAGATAGAAATCACAGAAAAAGTTAACAATCTTTTGATATATTATATTGCTACTGTTGGGAACTTTTTGGATTTCGTCCACCTTGTCAGAGAAAGTCGACATTTTATGATTCCCTTTCTTTCTTTCTTTTTTAAATACAACACCTTCGGTAATTGTTAAACTATTGCTTTAGGTAATATTCATGGGAACGCTGTATCGTGAAGCATATCAATCACTTTCTAAAAAAATAAAATAACTTTTTAAAATTAAACTATCGAATAGATTTTTTTTTAAATTATACAGTTTTTTATAAGTTAGCATATATATAAATTAATGTTGGGGAAAAATATTTTATTCTTTATTTTGTAGATGTGTTTATCAATAATTTTGAACACCAAAAATATATTTTTCACCTCACCACAGAATCATACATTTAAGATTTTGCGACTTTTGAAATACTATATTGAGTTTAGATAATATATTTATTTAGTGTGCCAAGGCATCATATTGAGATACATTAATAATATCATTATTATACAACCATTATAATAAAAAGGATGGTTTATTAGTAATTCAAATCACCCCAATTTACATAACATCATTTTTTGCCAATTCTTTATCACTTAAAACTTTAATTTAGATAATTTAGTTTATTAATGAAGTTTACATATCTCATTCTTAACTTAATGCCTACATTATATTTCACTATTCTAATATCATTTTTCATATCATTCGAAAATTAATATCATCTTAAGAAAGTCTCTTTGTTTTAGACAAAATTTCTTAATTAAATCGTAATTTTTTCCAAATTACTCTTAATTTAAATAAGGAATATTCATTAAAGTGAAATAAATGGATATTTGAGTGATAGAAGAATTAAAATAATTATTTTTTATTGGATAAAACCAGAAACATAATCACTTTAGAAAAAAATATTAAAATTATTTACTTATTATTAAACGAAAAAACCAACTAACTTATCAAGATATAAGAAAAAAAATACCATCTTCTAACTTATTCACATTCTCACAAAAATTTTATATCTATTAAACTTATTTTAACTTACTATTTGGTTACAAAATTTCTAAACATTATTTGACTATATAGATTAATTTAGTAAAATAATTATTTTTCAAAAGTATAAAAGAAAATAGTTGATTTTTTACAAAAGGTATGAATTAAAAATCCGATAACATTTTCAGATTATATATATATAACCATATATTTTAATATTGTTAGGCATAATATGTATTTTTTTCAAGAATTAAAAAAAAATGAAACAATATAAATTTAAAAGAGCAAGAATATATTTATGTTATTATTTTTTATTGTATTGTCTGAGATAAAATCCCTTGTTGCCGGAGCTAGATTCATAATAAATCGTGTAGTCCTCCACCGCTACAATAAATGTGTACATCAGAGGATCTAGCGGTTCATGTCCCAAACATTGTAAGATTAAGCTTTGCCCTTTGTGGTCCCATCCCACACACATAAAACAATCGTAATTATTCTTTTATTACCAAGAGGGTCCTTTTTTATTTTTCAAATAAAATAATGAGTGATCTAAATAACTTATTCTGCATTCCTATTTATTGATTAATTATTTTATTTTATTAAAAATAAATTAATACTCTTTTTGTAGATACCATTAAATTATAAAAGATAGAGCTTCGTCATCACCCTGTTATTTTATTATTTGGAGTTCATGTAATTCCAAACTACTCTGAAACGTGCGATGGGGACCTCTGTCTCTTATCAACAACACTGTCACTCACGAGAACCCTTTCTTCCATGCCCTCTCTTTCGTCCTCATATTCACTCACACACTTTTTCCATCTTTCTCAATTGCACCACCCTTCTAACTTTTCCTTATAATATCTATCCATCAAGTCAAACGTAGAATTTGTATTGTGTAAAGGAGGTGAATTCTTTAAATAAATTTCAGCATTTAATGATATTACATAACTTAAGTAGATTCCAAGGTTTGAAATGTTGTTAATTTTGTTTAATGGTTGAGCTGAACTCTCCTAGGAGAAGATACTAAGTTTAATGAAAAGTTTTGTTTGGTTCTTGGGCAAAATCAAAGCTCTCTGACTTCTGAGTTCTGACGGTCAATTGGAGACCCCACTCCACGTGACCCAGTGACTGTGCCAAAACGTCTTCAATTTAATGTAATGAGATGGTACATGCATTGAATTGGTTGCCCCTGTAAGGTAACATGAATAATAATCCCAAAGAAATAAAATAGATAAATGTTTGGTTTGGGTGTTCGAAGGTCAAATCCTGGGCCAATGCCTACGTTACTGTTGGCTTCTTTGGATTCTGTTTGAAACGTTGAAAAAAGTCTCTTCTTTCCCTTCTTGGGGTGAAAAGTTCCGCGATATTAGTGACTGAATGGTCTATGGCAGTAACAACTATTCTGGGACAATGCTTCCCACCTGACATTGTTTCCCCTGTTTCGGAGAAATTTGCTACTACCGGTAACAATAAATAAATACACCAATAAGTGACAAAACAGAGAGGTAAAAGAAGATATGGGTAGGGTAGAAAGTTTAAGTTCAGCTTAATATAATGTTAGGTTGAGAGACATGTTTATATTCATTGTTTGACTCGTTCTGTCTTAAATAACGTTATCTTTTATCTTGCAAAATGAAAGAATGTGTACATATATTTACCTTTAATCTATGCAAAAACCTGTTTCTGCTCGTTTTCAAAATGTGTTTTTCACAAAATATAATCTTTGTTTTATCACCCATATGAGAATATATTATGTGTTTTTTAATATGTTCAACACATGAACGTTTTAGATTTTTCTTATCTCTTGATTATCTTCACGTCTCTTTCTTTACCGTGGAAATTATTGTACCATTTTTTTGTTCAATTACCGTTCCTTTTGAACACCGTGAAGGGAAAAAAAGTCTTGGAAAAAGAGAGAGAAAGGGAGACTTTTGTGGTTTTATCAACAAATTCCTCAAAGGCCATGATGAGCTTTTGCACGTAAAAATGCAAGCTTTTTTCTTTCCAGCCCATCGAGCTCCAGTAATCTCTCCAGACACATTCCTTCACTTAACAGTTAGCACTGATATATAGAAACCGTTGTTGAAAAAAACTCAAAGCAAGTTCTTTTGCAGACACTAAGCTAATGGCCACTACTACATTCTGTACATACCTACTCCTTCTCTCCGTGTCCCTTTCAATCTTCAACCTTAGTTCCTCTTCATCTGAGGGAGACATCCTTCTCTCCTTCAAGGCCTCCATTGAAGACTCTAAGAAGGCCTTGTCTAGCTGGTCCAACACTTCATCGAACCACCACTGCAACTGGACTGGAATCACATGTTCCACCTCACCTTTGCAATCAGTAACTTCTATCAACCTTCAGAGCTTAAACCTTTCCGGGGATATCTCATCTTCTATATGTGACCTTCCAAATCTGTCTTATCTCAACCTTGCTGATAACATCTTCAGCCAGCCCATCCCTCTTCACCTCTCTGAGTGTGGTTCCTTGGAGACTTTGAATCTCAGTACCAACCTCATATGGGGCACTATCCCATCTCAGATTTCTCAGTTTGCTTCCTTGAGAGTGCTTGATTTCAGCAGAAACCACATAGAAGGAAGCATCCCTGAAAGCTTAGGCTCCTTGAAGAACCTTCAAGTCCTCGACATGGGAAGCAACTTGCTTTCAGGTAGTGTACCTGCTGTCTTTAGCAATCTAACTAAACTTGAAGTACTTGATTTGTCTCAGAATCCATACTTGGTGAGTGAGATTCCAGAGGATATCGGTGAGCTTGACAATCTAAAGCAACTTCTGTTGCAAAGCTCTTCTTTTCAAGGGAAAATTCCAGATTCTCTGGTGGGCCTGGTCAGCTTGACTCATTTAGATCTCTCTGAGAACAACCTAACAGGTGGTGTTCCTCAGGCTCTACCGTCTTCTCTCAAGAACCTGGTTTCGTTTGATGTTTCACAAAACAAGCTTTTGGGGCCATTTCCAAATGGCATCTGCAAAGGACAAAACCTTATAAACCTCGGTCTCCACACAAATGCCTTCAATGGTTCAATACCTAACTCCATTGGTGAATGTAAGAGTCTTGAGAGATTCCAAGTCCAGAACAATGCCTTCTCTGGAGATTTCCCCATTGCATTGTGGTCATTACCCAAAATTAAGCTCATTAGAGCTGAAAACAACAGATTCTCAGGACAGATACCGGAGTCAATTTCAGGAGCTGTTCAGTTGGAGCAAGTTCAGCTTGACAACAACAGCTTTGCTGGTAAAATTCCTATAGGTCTTGGCGTTGTCAAGAGCTTATACAGATTTTCTGCTTCTCTCAACCGTTTCTATGGTGAACTTCCTCCAAACTTCTGTGACTCTCCTGTTATGAGCATAGTAAATCTCTCCCACAATTCTCTTTCTGGTCAAATCCCAGCGCTGAGAAAATGCAGGAAACTAGTTTCATTGTCGCTGGCTGATAACAGTCTAACCGGAGAAATTCCCCCTTCTCTTGCTGAGCTACCTGTGCTCACTTACCTTGACCTTTCAGACAACAATCTCACTGGTTCAATCCCACAAGGGCTTCAGAACTTGAAGCTTGCTCTTTTCAATGTGTCCTTCAATCAGCTATCAGGTAATGTGCCATACTCCTTGATTTCTGGTCTCCCTGCATCATTTTTGGACGGAAACCCTAGTCTTTGTGGCCCTGGATTGCCTAACTCTTGTTCTGATGACATGCCAAGACACCACATTGGTAGCCTTACGACCTTAGCATGTGCCCTCATCTCTTTAGCCTTTGTAGCTGGAACTTCCATTGTTGTTGGCGGGTTTATTTTGTATAGGAGATATTGCAAAGGGAATCAAGTAGGGGTTTGGCGCTCAGTGTTCTTCTATCCTCTCAGGATTACTGAACATGATCTACTTGTAGCTATGAATGAGAAAAGCTCAATGGGAAATGGTGGGTTTTTTGGTAGAGTTTATGTTGTGAGTTTACCTAGTGGTGAACGAATAGCTGTGAAGAAGTTAGTCAATTTTGGAAACCAGTCCTCGAAAAGTTTGAAAGCGGAGGTGAAAACTTTGGCAAAAATTAGGCATAAGAATGTTGTTAAAATTCTGGGTTTTTGCCACTCCGATGAGTCAGTGTTTCTCATTTATGAGTACTTGAATGGAGGGAGCTTAGGGGATTTGATTTCTCGTCAGAATTTTCAGCTACAGTGGGGAGTTCGATTAAGAATTGCCATTGGAGTTGCTCAAGGACTGGCATATCTTCACAAGGATTATGTCCCTCACCTGCTTCATAGAAATGTCAAGTCAAGTAACATTTTGTTGGATGAAAACTTTGAGCCAAAACTCACAGATTTTGCTCTTGATCGAGTCGTTGGAGAAGCTTCATTTCAATCAATTTTGAACACTGAAGCATCATCTTCATGTTACATTGCACCAGGTATGATAAGTTGTGTTAAAACAACTTTAAATGCATTCCCATAATTGAACAAACAAATGCAATTTAAAAAAAAAAAGTTTTTTGAATACAAATTAAGACCTATATGGATGCTTTGATGTTCACTTTATTATGAAATATCTTGAATTTTTAGGTAAACTCAGATATTCAGTTTGATACTTCTTAACCTTGACTTCTGATTGGGGGATACTCTCTCTGTCTGCAAATTTTGTATTAGAATGGGTTTGTGTGACTTGCTAGTTGATAAACTCCACAGCACTTTAGAAATTTCAATATTCAGTTGCATCATCGAGTGTCAATCTGTAACTTCCTATATCTGTTAGCTCACTGCACAAATTGTGTACCATATTTTTTTCCAGAATCTTCAGTAAAAGGATTTATAACTCCATCTTATGAAATATTATTGCTGATAGAAACACTGCCTATTTATCATCAACATGCATGGGTGCATCAAATATATAGTTAACCAACAAATGTTAACATGCTAACTAATTGTATTGTTGCAATGCAGAAAATGGTTACAGTAAGAAAGCAACTGAACAATTAGACACCTACAGCTTTGGTGTGGTATTGCTGGAGCTAGTGAGTGGTAGGCAAGCAGAGCAAACAGAGTCAAGTGACTCACTTGACATTGTGAAGTGGGTTAGAAGGAAAGTGAACATCACTAATGGGGTGCATCAAGTTCTTGACCCACGGATATCAAGCACTTCTCACCAAGAGATGATTGGAGTGTTAGATATTGCACTTCGTTGCACTTCTGTGGTGCCTGAGAAAAGGCCATCTATGGTAGAAGTTATTAGAAGCCTTCAATCCCTGGAGTCAAGAACTTGCATTGAAAATTTGCATGAACCAAATGCAGAACCCTCAGTTCCAGTCTGAACTTCTAAGTTCCAACTCAAAGACTGCCTTGTTTTTTTGTTGAGTCTTTGTATGTAAATTTTAAGCTTTGTATTTCACATAATTTTTGTTCTTTTCTTCTTTCTATCTGATGAATTAAGATATAGCAATCGTTTGGCACTATACATTCTCTGGTTGGCATTGGAATCAAAGTGTTAATGATACTCAGGATTGCCATCAAGTATTGGTTTAGATCACGATGCAGACTCAAGGTTGAAGTAGATAACACCAACTTCAGTGTACTTTTTCTGTCCTATGGTGGTATAAAAAAATCTTTAACCTTCCATGCTTTTCTTAATTATAAAAATTAATTATTAGTCATGTTTATTATGATTTGCCTCTTGACACTTTTTTGGATAGATCTCTAGCTATCTTCCCCATTACAATTTTTTCTAACTCTTTCTCTTTTTAGTATATGTTATTAATTATATTTATTACCTTTTCTCTTTTATTTTTCATCTATATCAAAATATATACTTTAAAATTTTTAATTTATAATATCAAATTAGTCTTTAAAAAATATAATTTAATATTAAATTAGTTCTTAAATATTATAGTGGGATAAAATTGTCCACAAAAATTAATAACAAAACGTAATTATATATTTATACACAAGGAAATATCCCTTGAAATATTTGTAAAAATCAATCTAGAACATTTTTCTCGATAGCCAAAGATTATTTAGATAAATTACTTAATTTAAAAAAATTCCTGATGATTGTTTTCTAATTATTTTTTCTTGTAGTATTTTTTAAATGTTCAATTTTTACTATTTATTTTTTTTATTAGAAAATTATAATAATAAATAAATGTAAACCTATGGATAGGAATTATTACTCTTTTGGGATCTATTATGTCAAATTACTGAGTTCGGAGAGAATAAAAAATTCATCTATAAATATCCTCTAATTTTTAAATCAGTATAAAACCAGGAGAATAAAAAAAATATATATATAAAGGATGAATAAAAAAAATTGACAATGCTTTTTATAGAACTCTTGGAGGTAGTCCATTATATTTGTTTAATTAATATTTATGGTCTAATAACATGAGATTTTCACATGTGTAATGAGTAATTTCATAAACTTATTTTGTGTATTATTTTTGTATTTATATCTATTTAAAATTATTTATTCAAGAAAATCTCTCCTATTAATATGGATACTTACACTTATTAATTTATTAACATTGACAATGTGTTTGAATTGAGATTTATAAAGGATAAATCATTTTAAAAGAGAATTTGAAATACTTTTTAACAAAAATAGCTATTTAGATAAAAAATTTGAAAAATAATTAAAATCTAAAATTTTATAAGGATAATTTGTTTATTTAAAAAGAATTTCAAATTTCATGTGAGAATTTTAATTTTTTTCTTTTTCAAATTATCTTGATTGATTTTAACTTGGGATAACTTAACTCGACTAATTTCAAGATCTATTGACCTAAATAAGCATGATCTAACCTATTCAAGTTGACCCAATGTAACCCGACTCATCAAGACTTGGTTCGATTAAACCTAATATGTTCTAATCATAATATGTTCTAATCATATTTGAACCATCCTAACCTTATTCTTTTAAACCTGGTCCATCATGTATTGACCTGACTCAACATATCTCGATCTAATTTGATCGATCCCAACTTGACCTATTCTAACTTGATTTAACTATTTTTGATTAATTTAAACTTAACTACCCAAAGTAGGTTTGACTCATCCTAACTTATTCTAACTTAACTCATTCTTGTAAGACCCAACTCATCTTGGTTTAACCCCTTCTGTCTTGACACATCTTGTATCGATTTAATTCAACTTGTCTCATCTTAGTTTGTCTTGTTTGGTTACAATCAAACTCAACCCATTTTGACTCGTTTCACCCAATCATAGGGTGTCAAAATATGTGTAATCTAATAGACCGACCTGAAAGATCCGAGAAATAGGTTAATCTAAGCTTCTCCTAAATTGAATCAAATATATTTTGGTCTTGTCTATTTAGGTTATAATGTATATGAGCTTAGGTCAGGTTAACCCATAAGTTTATGGGTCAGCTAGAATAATAACTATTTTTTAAACTAAAAAAAGTTAATATTATTTTATTAAAATATATATATATATATATATATATATATATATTTGTTAAGTCTAAAAGTTACAAAAAGATCGAAAGAATGAATCGAACCCGATTGAGCATCGAATGATTGGAAGGAATAAATATAGTAACAAATAAAGGTATATTATCTAGGTAGAAGAGTAGTTAGTGTTGAGTTCTTCGAAAAAAGACAAAATATCAATAAAATTAGAAATTGAAGACTTGAAGAGAAGAGACCATCGATAAGGATAAAATCAAGAGGAAGTTATACGGGAAGATCTTCCAATGGTACATCGAAAGATTGATGAAGGCGCTTAAGAAATAAATTCAAGTAGAATATACAAGTTATAAATAAATGTGTGTCAACAAAGTGAAGCGAGTTACAAGGAGATATTCGTTTGAATATTCTAATATGTAATTTTTATTTTTATTATGTTTATGATTATTTTAACGGTTACAAAAAATAATATATAGGATAAAATAAAGGTAATTAGGAGTGGTTGTCAAATTGTACAACTTACATTTTGAGAAATACTGTGAATTTGGAACAAACATTTTCAATAAAGTTCTTTACAATTTGGATTGTCATTTTCGTTTATTTTCACTATTAATTTATGTTTTATCTTTGGTAATTAGTTAGATTTATCTTTATGCTATTTAATTTTTGTGCACATTACTTTTCAATAATTTACTTTTATAATTATTTATTATTTTTGCGAGTTATGTTAAATGTTTAGAGTGTATTAAATATAAAAATTAAATATGAACAATATTTAATTTAAATCGAGTGTGTTGAATTTTGAGTGAGATTAGAAAATCCACGGTTAAGTAATTCAGTGCATAAATTGTATTAATTTTATAAAACAATGAATTATTTACACTAAAAAGCAGTATTATAAATTAATTTGATAAAAAATGTACTTATTCTACAAGTAAATATCAAAGTAAGTTTCTAACAACCACTTATTCCAATATCTAATGATTAAAATTAATTACTATTTATATTAATAAATTACTAAAAAAAATGAATGATAATAATGAAGAGTAAATTTTTAAATTTTATTTTAAAATTGAATGAATTTTTTTATTATAATTGAGATTGAATAAATTCATTCTGTTATGATTTATATATTAAATCGAGTATATCTTAAATAAAAATTATTTTGATTAATATAATTTAAATTTTAAAAATATTTTTTTTATTTTTAATTAATTATTTTAGTATAGATATATTAATATTTTTCTTTTAATTTTTAATCATGCTAAAATTAGTCTGTCAACCCATTTGCTTAACATATTGTTAAACTTGGTTAAAAATTATGGTCTATTTTAAAATATAAGTCACCTTAGGTCATCAAATTTTTTTACTTGACCCGTAAAGTCAGATCAGACCACTAATTTTGATAGTTACACCCAATTGACCTGACATATTTTGATTCATCTTAACTTATCTTAACACAATCCGACTCATTTAATATAACTCAACATTATCAACTCATCCTACCATGTCAACCCGACCATATATGATTTAATATAATATTTTTATCTAATAAAATTTATTTTCATCATACCTAACATTATTAATTTAGTTTGACTTGATCAACCTATCATAATTTGTCTCATTCTTACATGACTAATGTAAGTAAGAATCACATTGTAAACTAAACCTAATTATTAAATTTAATAATGATATTTTTAATATTTGGTATAATAATTAAAATTCTGCAAATGATGATATGGCTTTTATATTATTATTAATTCTTCATATTTATTTTTTAATATTTATAGATCAAAACACAAATGTATTAAAATTCTAAATGTGTAAGGTAATAATGCAATAAGTTTAAGAACTAGATTGTGACAAATGCTTACTTTTTCCCAGAGTAGTACTGTTTCCAATAAAATAGGCTCTTAATTACTTTGTAGTGTAAGAGATGTGGCATCTGAAATTAATTAGACTTTGAAAACCAATTATACCATTTTGTATTCATGTTTTGGAGAAATTAATGTTTCACATTTGAATTTGGATAATCATAATATGAGTACAAATTTTTGCTGCTGCAAATGGTTTGTAACAAGATTTGTAAACGAAAGGGGTTCCGGTGATACCATTTAGTCAAATCAACTTTTGATTAGTCAAATCAACTTTTGATTAGTCAAATCAAATGGATATTATGCATTTTTTTTAAGTCTTCAATATGTTTGTTAATTAATTTTCTTAAATAATAATTTAAATACATATTTGAAGATATTAAATTTTGTAATATAACCGTTTTATTAAATTATTATTATAACTTTTTCAGTCATTTCAATATGAAAATTCATATATTTAATAAATATGCATATCAATTAATATATAACAAATGTCATTAAATAATATCATGTAGTCAATTTTGATAATATTAAAATTATATTTATTATATAATATTTTGTCCCAAAACGATTACGGTTTAGGTCTTTATAACTCTTTAAAATTGACTGAGATGATTTTTTCAGTTTCTGATAAATTATTAATTATTATATATCTAATTTGTAAAACATAATTATATTTATATTTATAATAGATAAAAGTAATATATTTACTATGAAAATGAAATTGTTTTAGTTTTTGACATTTGTATTATTATTTTGAAAAAACTTTAAAGTGTAATTATTTTAAAATAAAAGACATATTTAGACGAACTTCTTCACTAATTATTTTAAGAACACAAATAATAAATTAATGTTTTTTATAATTTAAAATTATTTTATGTCTAAGTTAAAAATAAATTATGTAAGAACTCTATTACAAATTAATTTACATGTAAGTTAAGTTTAACTAAAAGAAAAATTCATCTAAAAATATGTAATTTATATGAAAAGCGATTAAATTATATAAACTTAATTTTTATT